CTGAGCATCTTGGTTCTTGGTTCTTGATTCCTGAAGTCTGCCCGCATTTAACTTAAATTTTTAAATGCAGAATTCGCCGGGACTCGCTCAAGTCAATGATATTGTGACTTCAAGTTGAAACGTTGACCCCAATCCTTATATGCCACATGGAAAAGAAGGGTAAAAAAGGTGGATCATTTGGGGGTGGGGGGTACCAAATAAAAGAAGCCGTGTACCGGAACGATTGGGACTGAGAGTGAGGTTAGGCTCGTGGTGTCAGGGCTGCCGACGTTGCACTGCGCATCTTGCTACCGCTCTTGTAGGGAGAGGTCTTGATGGCATGGTATGTGGGGATGCGGGCGCGTGGATGGGAAAAGCCCGTGCAAGTCAGGTCCAGTGGGCAGCTCTTAGTTTCTGCGATTTTGGAGTGCATCTTCACACATTCCCTTGGGATCTCATGAATAGAGCGTCATGCTAAGCGAAAACTGGTGCACTGTGCTTTGGTACGTGCTTCAATAATGTTCAAAACCAGCCATTCCAAGCTTGTGGAGTTTCGCAATTCAGTGAGTCAGTGAACGTAACTACCGCGCGATTGCGGGAGACACTGCGAGCCTTTTGAGGTGGTGTGAGCTTTGCTCCGCAGACGCTGGCACTGGCTCACCAAGCGCTGGACGATGCGCCCGCCTCAAGCATGTATGTGGTTGGGGTTGTGCGTTTGTGTGTTCAGTTAGTGGACTACTGGGTTGCGGGTACTGTGCAAGCACCTGTTTCGACAACTGACCGGTGTCTTCGACCGGTGTCTTCTTGGAAAGGTTCGATCTAAGACTCTTGCAGGCGGCACTTCTTTAAGAGAAATCGATGTGGGTGTGGAAGTGCACAGGTTTGGAGCTCAGAGTGATTGTGCTGCCAGATAACAGAGATTAGCAACAAGCCGCAACATCCGGCTGACAACATGCGCAGAAGACAGCCGTCCACTGGTATTCGCAGATACACATTCAGCCTTCACCAAGGAGCCAACGGTTTGTCCGCTTGGCAGACTCACGGCATGCTGGGCTCTCCACACTGCTGGGGTGCATGCATGCCGCCGGACAACGGAGGTGACGATCTCGTTGGCCCTGGCCTTTGTGTGCCGCGTTTTGATGCAGCGTGCCAGAAGCCTATTGGGCGACTGCATAGAGTCACTCAAACTACAGGAACTAAAGAGCTTGTCAAGGAGGTTTCGCTAACCCGGATTGAACACAGCCCTGGCAGTCATCGCTGGATTGCAGGAGCTGCCTCTTCTTGCAGCCATTGCTAGCAGATGGCCACTACTTCGATTCCTTGCCCATGTTCGACGCTCCTCACCTTCAACGGAGCTGTGCACTGTACAGTACCGGTTCTACGGTTGCCACCCCTGAAACGCTGACGCGGGAGAGCCGAAAACATGTCTGATCAAGTCTCTGCAGGTGTACACTTGGATTCGCTGACTTCAGGTACAAGCTGGGTTCGACCTGTCGGAGGGATCTTCTCATGCGAATCGATGTTTCATCCCTCCATCGACTGGGACACTGAACTGCAAAAAAGGGCCGCATGCGGCACCACTTGTAAGGGTGTACAGGAATTTGGACTCCGTGCGGATCTTGCCAACTGTTGCTGTTGAGGTTGAGGCAGGGTGAAGCCGCAAGAATGTGCGAATGCGAAGTGTGCCAGGGGTGAAGTCGTAAAGTGCTGCGAGCTGATGCTGCTGAGGACAGCTGGCACGCCACTGTCGAGGCCGTGACTTGGCTTCAGCAGCCTGCAGCTTCTGAGATTATGATACACACACGTATACATATGTATATATATATACACATATAAATAGTTTTGGGTAATGTTATATCCCGCCCCAAAGATTCGGGCTTCACGGATTTCTTACGCGATTTGATTGTTCGGGCTTCAGGGAGTAGTGTTGTCGCTGTGCATTTGGCTGTCGCAGGACCTTGAGGTTTTACTAGTTAGGAGATGCAACATTTAGCTTTGGCTGTACTCACACTGAATGACCCCATCTGGAAGAAAAGTAAGACCACTGAGTAATGCCTATGATTTCTTTACGCACGGCAAGACTCCAGTTCATTAACTATTGCTTATGATCCGTCCATTCGGAAGAATTGCACTACAAACCGACCCATGAGCTCTCATGAAAACAGTCTGGTTGTTTCGTGGGGCGACCGATCTTGGTGCTCATATCCAAACAGCTCGTTCACGACAGCAAAACATGACTGCGGAAGCTCTCCATGTCAACACGGCCACATCATACCGAGATGCTACCATGAAGTACATGAGTTCTCAACGGATTTGTTCAATACTTTGCCATGCTAGCCCGGGAATTTGCGCAAGTTTCTTGCTCTCCAAAACTCGGCCTGCAACTCGTCTTGCCTGTGGCGGTATAATCCAAACGGCGATACAGTTCATGCCAACCAAAAGCCTTATGATATTCCCAACCATTTGCCCAGGCGGTTGCGTTTTCTGTATGCCGATCTACATGCGTACGATACGAGTTCATGTCCACCATTCAAGTTAGACCTTCCTGTAGCTACTTTAACGGCTCCTTTCAACCTAAACCGTCATACCGAATCAGCATAATGCATGTTGTAATGCTTGTCATAGCGTCCAAGAGAAGCCGAACTGTCGAATTCATGCCCTTGAAGTATGTGAAGTCCCAGCTGTACTTGCTATTTTGCCCTCAAAATACACTGTCTCTTAAGCTGCACGCAAGTCCTCGTAATCTAGGCCGATTGAGGTCTGGTTCCGTGGAGACTCACCGAATTCCATGTGCACAGTAAGTTTCATGTAATTACCAACGCAAGTCTCCAAAACGCCAAACATTTCGATCCCGGCGCCACACGGTTCATAAGACTTCTCCGAATCCGAACCATGTTGGCCTGGACAGCCTAGTCTCTGTACCCCTTTGCGCAATCTTGGCTTGCAGATCCAACGTTACCATCCTTGCCGCACATTTCTGTCAATTTTCAAGCAAGCCACAACTCTTCTGATCTTGGCCGCTGTGTTCGCACAGCCATGGAACTCACATCTAAATGTTTCTCCTTTTAGCCTTTCGCGTGGGATCCAAATCCAAAGAAGAACTATAGAATTGGCTCGTGGGATCGGCATATTCCCCAACTGTAGTTGAAAGTCTTGCTGTCAAGGGGGTACTCACGACTTGCTAAGCCGCACACAAGTTCTTTTGTTCCAAGACGCCTGCGTGTTTTTTCCCCGCACCAACGCAAGTCTGCAAAACATGATCTCTACGAATCCGGAGCTTCTTTTCGTAATCCTTGTTCTGCTCTCCGCCATTGTATTCCCATACTGCCTATCAAAACCTCAGCATGCTTGACTTCCGATTATCGATGTTCAGAGGGTGGCTGGGTCGGTGTGTGTGTGTGTGTGCTGTTAGGGAAAACGTGCGCCTATCGTTTCTCACACGGTGAGTTGTCTCCACGCCCATCAGCTCTATGATGCAGCTTGGGCTGGACTCATAGAGGTACCTTAATAATTCTCAATACTATTTTAGCGGTTCCTTGTCAAACGTATAGCCTAATATACCCCAAAACCCTATTCTTGAAAGTGATTTCCGCACGCACGTCATTGCGCCTTGCTGGACGTCTACGGAAGCTTGTGCAAGTTGTGCCAAGTTGCTTAACTTCTCTGTTGAGCCGCGTAACCTGACGCGACGTTGTCTCCGTACGCGGGACTTTCCTGTACAGGTCGTAGATACTTGGTCGTTGCAATATGACTCAATGATTTGTTGCATTGATAAAGTCATTGCAGCGCTTAGCTAAGATGGCTAGCTCAAAGAAAGCTAGATGATTGAATGATGCACAAGGCATCTTTCGTCGCACTCGCCTCAGACTTCGGTCCGCAATCACCCCAAAACCCTATTCTAATTATTAGGGCCCCTATATAATCCGAAGTCAGGGCCTCCCGTGTTTAAGTCCGCTTGGCCTCTGTATCATCGAAACAGCACTGGCACACGAGGTGCACAAGTGTTGGGGCTGACCTAGGTTCCTAAACACATACGCCACCTGACAATCACATGTGTATGTGTGGAAAAAAAATATATATATATATATATGTATGTATGTATGTATGTATGTATGTATACAATACATAAGATGATACATAGAAAGAGAGAAATAGATAGATAGATAGATAGATATATATATATATGCACGCCCAGGTCGAGATGGAAGATTTCGAGGAGGACAAAATGGAAACCCTTGGCGGGGATGCCGTGGACAAAGCTGGTGAAGAGGCTGCACGTCCACCTCATGCGGAGCTGCTCAGGCCTCTCCGATTAGGTTGGTTGGCAAGCTTCTTTGGCCAGGCAGGCGGCATCGTTTGGAAGTACTCGTCCGATGCGGAGTATGAGGGAACCACCATAAGCAGCTTCACAAAGCATCTCAGCTCGACGTGAGTTCGTTAATGTAACATCGCACAACCCATGGCTGGCAATGGCTGGCATCATCATGGCTCCTGGCCGGACTCATACTGACACTGCCGTTCCTCGATGTGCGTACAGATGCTGCTTGCATTGGTTCGTTATGCCGCGACTGCTATTGTTGTTGCAGTGGGAATTCATTCTGACTTCGTTTTGTCGCTTCCAGCATCGAGCTTATCGCATCACGGTCTTGAGGTTGCCCAACTGGAAGATAGACAGCCCGTTTGACATCGTTCGCAGTGCACCCAAAACCTGCAAACTGATCCAACTGTGGACGAGGCTAAGAATTTGGGGAGTTTATCCCGAAGCTAGGGCTCCTCCCCGAAGAAGTGGTGGAATCTCAATTTTGAGGGCAAGCCGGAAGCGTGCAACAGATTAAGTCTGAGATAGAGGCTTTTTCAGAACATCAAAAAGAGCCTTGCAGCTTTGAGCTACATTTGTTTAACATACTGTGTATACACACATGTGTATATATATATATACACACATTTACAAAATATACCTTCATTATAACTTCTAATATATTCAAAAATATATATATATATATATTTATTTATTTACTCATTTATTTATATTTATATTGTTGTTTGTTTATACCTTGACACATACACATGCCACTTCTGCCCTGGCGTTTTTGCTCGTCCTTCTCGGCCAAGGCTCTGTCTGCATGGCGTGAAGGCGGCCTTCGTCCTCCGGGCCTCGGGTTTGGTCATGGGCCCCTTGGCTGCCACGGGGAAAAAAGGGTTTTGGTGTATGCTTGATCATGTAAAATACATTGAAGTGGTACACGATTTCTCTCGGGGCCCTGCGAAGCCTTGAGGCGACTTGGATGTGTTCAAGATGGTAGAGGCCGCGCTTGGCATCGTGGGCGGTGACAACAGGTGGGGTCCTGCCTGGGATATGGATCATTCTGCCATGCAGCTGGATAAGTAACCTAAATATAGACACTTCAGCTAGTCACAGGGATCTTGTCTGGCGTCAGAAGGAAGGCGGGTTGCAAGAACAAGCAGGCAAACATGCGCTGTCCACTGGCCTGGTATGCTTGCTTGCATGACGGTACTTCAGTGTATGTAGGTCCTGACATTAAGGCAGTCGCTGAAACCTGAGAATGGATCGGATTGAAAGTCAGGGCTGCGGCGCCTAGGGCTGCACGAGTTTCGATCTGCCCAGGATCGAAGACCTCCTGAATTCAAGGTGGCCTCTGCCACTCGGATCGCAACAGCCTCATGTGGTGAGTCGGAAAGGGTCCATCATTGCCACATGCCAACTGGCGCGCCGAGCACTTCCCGAACCACGAGACCGGTGTCCAAGTTTCTGCTAGCAAGCCTTGCCTTGTGTCGCATGCTGGTTTGCAGCGAATTCATTTTTAGACACACCTTCTTGAAGGCCCCATGTCCAGGCATGCGCTACATTTTGAGATCCTGTGCGCAAAGAGTATGCGAAACAGTTGCATGTGTGGTTCCATGTGGGCTCCTTCCTTTGATCAGGCTCGCTTTGCTGCACCGGCACCCTGGCTTTATGACTTTGCCTGGCTATGGCTGCCTCAGCTGGGTGCTCCCAGGTGTTGTCGAAGAGGGAATGTTGTGTGATACGTCGTGCCATCAATTCGCTCAAACCGCCCGTCCGGATGATCATGATAACTTAAGATCTGAGTCCCTACATTCAGAGTGCAATGTAACCCTGCCCTTCACCCCATGTGCCCCTGCACCCTTCCCTCTCGCAAGGTTTTCCTGCATGAAGAGAAGGTGGGATGACTTGGCATTTGCGCCGACCGATCTTTGATTGTCTTAGCATGAGGGTCGGACTAGTTACAGTCATAACATTTTAGGCCCTAGCCTAATTAGTCTCAGTCCTGTACAGGCCTTCTGTGTTTTTTTGTATACTTGTATAGACCCCCGTAATCCGATTAAGGCCTCTGAATAGTCGACTCTCGGCTCTTCTAGAAATCCGTGCAAAAAGTGCGTTCAAGGGCTGCGGAGACTTGGAATGATCGCATACATTTCAGTGAGATCGTTCATGGTTCTGGGGGATAGTTTATTCACAAAGTCGAGACAAGTCAAAGCGATCATCAAGAACCTCAGCCATTGAAAATGCGAGCTCGATGCCGCAGGCGAAGTTTTTTACCTACACGCGTCCGCCTTTAAACACCAAACGTGCGACAGTCCGACTGGCAAAAGTGAGAGCCCCCGCTTCATGAAAATGACCCGAAGGTATCCTTGGCATCTCTGAGTGAGTTCCTGCATGGCTTTTTGACTTCATTCCCTTTCGGACTTTCTTATAAAACATTGGACAGTGTGTGAGCTCTTTGTAGCTGGTTTTGTGATTGCTCGAAAGCAGAAACCTGTGCATGCAAGTATGCGTGCATGAATGCAGGTAGATACATATCTAGTTAGGCTTAAATGGGCAGGCAGGTAGGCAGGCAAGTAGGTATTGATTCCATTATATGTATGTATGTCTATATATATATATATGTGTGTGTGTGTGTGGCATGCTGCAGGTCGTGCATGTGCGCTTGTGATTTGATGAATTTTGTGACAGGTACAGATGCATAAGGAGGTGGACGCTCAGACGTAAAACACCCTGAACGCGAAACTCGAAAATCCCAGGAGGCAAAAGATCTCATCCCAAACTTGATCTTATACCCTGGATACACTGGAATGCTGACGCCAAAGAACTGTGAAAAAAATGCTGATCTTGTCCTCTAAGCTTTGAGGATCTCCTGCTCAACTCCGTCTCTCCCGTAGCGACGCGAGTGGCGCAGCTTCTCTCCATGGGCTACCCAGGACCTGAGTCTTGGCAGCCCTGTGAGGTTTTCAGGTCTTTTCATGATACGCGAGAAAAGGATGCAAAATACCTGGAGAGAGTGACTAGGCACAATCTCTCTCTCTCTCTTTCTCTCTCGTTCTCTTTCTCTTTCTCTGTCCCTCTACAGATAGGTATACGGATGTACAATGTGAGGTATTTACATGCCTGCATGTGCATCTATTTATACACATGTGTGCATGTGTGCGTGCATGCGTGCCTGCATGGATGGACATACCCGAGTAATCAGATGAAATGCGTGTACACACACACATATATATATACATGCGTACATACATGAGGCCGTATACATGTATGGGCAGGCTTGGGACTCGAGGTTGGTTGGAATTGCATACATGGTTTGGGGAAGTGCGAAAACGGTTTCGGGTTACTCGTGCAGGTCTTGGTGGCCTTTGTTTCCGCTGCGCGGGCAAAGTACCTGCCAGACTTTATGTTGCATGCAGAGCGCAGCTCAGCAGCAGCTGTGCTGAGCCTCGAAGCCTATGAAGTATGATCTTACTACGTGAGTGTGATTACATTGTGATTAAACGTGGGTAAATCAGAATGAGACACACAGATTGCTGCGTCCGCAAGCAGGTCTTGGTATTTGGAGGCGGACGTTGGTCCTGCCGCAAAACGCTGACATTTTGCAAGACTGCTCAAGTTTGATGGACGCATGCCTTCCAGTTTTGTAGCCGGGCTGCAGTCTTCAAGATGTTTTGGAGCACCATGGTGGGACATATGCCCGAGTTTGACACGCTGCCATACAGAGCTGAGGTCAGTTTTTCCAGAGCTGTCAAAATACACCCTTCTCGCATTTGCTGCCAAGCTGGGCGTCAGCGTTCTGTTCGCTGACCTGGAGCTCCACATGTATCGGTTTAGGGTTCGGGGTGTTAGGGAGAGAGACATGTCATAACTTGCGTGTAATTGCAGTTACGGGCTTTACGCCCCATCTTACAACTGTAGGCACAGGTGACAAGTCGCAGCAGCGCCCGGCAGGACATGTACTGGGCACAAAATCCCTTTCCACTGCTGCCAAGACATGATGACTTGGATGCTGCAGATGCTCCTCGACCAAACTAAGGATTTCGGGAGCACTGTACCCGTTAGTCCCTGTGATTCGCTGTGAGTGCCGAGAGCGACTGGGTACGCCAAATGGAATTGCGGTGGCAATTGATTCGTGCAAGCGTGAGAGAGATGGACGCCAATCTCCAAAGCTGGCTACAATTCCTGATGTTTTCGAGGTTTACGTCGCCACCGAGTTCTATTCAAACCAAACTCGCCCAAGCGTGATGCTGGTGCAGGCGAAACTTAGTTGCATTGAATGGCACTTTCAATGTTCAGTTTCTTGAAGGTCGAAATTCGCTTAGTTGTACGTTGAGTGAGGGGCCTTTGGGATAAAAAACTCACCTGTAAACAAGAGCAGGCTTAGGTGGTTTGGCCGCCTCAAACGGCTTCGCAGTCGGGCCTGCATATCGCAAAGCACCGAGCACTCGACACTTCCATGTTACATAGCGTGCAGTGCTGCAGCAGCGCAAACTTCAATGCAAACCCTGCGCTCTAAACCCTAAACACAGTGTTCACGTCATAGCACACCAATCTTTCGCTGCCGTGAATGAGACGCATGAATGTGCCACTCAGCAGACCTCGAACCATATGCCTCGCCTGGATTGTCCGAGTGCGAGCGCTGCAAACCCTAAACACTGCCTGGCTTGTTCGTGTGGAAGACATTAAACACCCAAGGCACTATTGCTGGTCTCGTACAGTACTGTTCTTCCAAGTTCCTATATACTTAGTCGGACGGGCCCAAAGGAATGCGAGGAGTCACCGCACCTTTGCGAATCTCGCCATCTGGTTGCTGAGATTTCCTTTTCTGGGTGCAGATAGCGGCAGCTTGGCGGCGAAATATAGCTTTTGTTTGTTACAGACGTGCATCTGAAGAAAAGGGCCGCCAAAAATATGAACGCTTCCACTGGCTTCCGTTTGCTCCGGCTTCCGCGGGGCACCTTCAGATTTTGTGGCTCAGGGACCGCTCTGTTCGTAAGAGGTGTCAGTGAAATCAAGAAGACGGCAAGAGCCCTGTTCGTTGCATCTAATGGAAAGACGAAGAGCGCTAGTGACCTGCACTCGCGAAAAATGGATTTACTTACGCCAGCGCAAATCGCGGGCTGAGCATCGCTGCACAGGCATTCGGCATCTGCTGGAGCCCGATCGACCAGGCGGGCGCCGGGTTGAGAATCAGGCAAAGGCCCGTGTGCACAGCTCGGGCAAGATTGTCCAGCCAAGATTGCAGCACATAGGGCCACGCAAGTGCCACGCAGTCAACACGTGCAAATGGTGACTTTGAGGCTACGTTCCGTCTGTGTCATTCCTGCGGCCTGATGATCCACCCGAGCATGGGAAGCTTCAGCTGGGCGTTTTCGATTCGGACCGCAATTGCTCATGTGTGCATTTCTTCAAGCATGGCTCTCTTTCTGCAGCAGTTGGATTTTGGCTGTAAATCTGATGACAACTAGTTTGTGCACGGGTTGGGCTGTTCGACACCACAAGACGGCGTGGACACGCATGAAATCGCATGAAAAGCCGATTATCCTTCGAGGAGAACCAGTTCGTGACATGGGATGGTTGGTATGGAAGCGTGGATTCCGTGGTGGCGCTTGAACTGGGGAGTGCGTATCCTGACCAGTCGAAACTCCAACTGCCCCTCCTCCTGCACTGGTCCTTTCGATTCTCGTCAGAAGCTTCGAAGCAGGCAGGCCCAGTCTTGCATTGAGTCTTTTACAGACACGGAATCCTGCATTTCTGCCATGATCTTCTCGTTATACGGCAGTGCAAACGAAGAGTCAGCAGAACCAAGTGAGGCTGGATGCTTTGTACACGTCAACTGGCGATCAACAAGCGCAAGCGAGTCGGCTTTTGCTGACTGTGCAAAGGCAGCTTATCTGTTGTTCAACATAACCTTCATTGTCATCACCATGGCGGGTAATAGAACTCGTCGTGGTTTGTGGTCGCCATAAATTTCGTGCGCTCGGCAGAAACCACAGATACTCAGCAGTAGTTTTGCTACGAATAGAAGCAGCAGCACCAGCATTACGAGGAGTAGTAGTTGTCGTTCTGGTGGCGGTGGTGGCGGTGGTAGGGCTAGGGCTGGTGCTACTGCTAGTGACTGCTAGTGGTAGTACAAGCAGCAGTAGCACAGTAAATAGTAGCTCGTGCTAGTGCTAGTACTACTACTACTGCTGCTGCTGCTACTACTCCTCCTCTTACTCCTACTCCTACTCCTACTCCTACTACTAAAAGTAGTAGTATTAGTAGTGGTAGTAGT